GCTTGACTTACCAATACAGGGAACCCAGCTCACCTGTTCCAACCACTCCTCCTCCCCTTCGCTCTCCAAACTTGACCGCTTCCTAGTCAGTACGGAGTGGGATTTGTCTTTTCCGGGAACCCGTGTAGTTGCCCTACCAAAATCGACATCGGATCACTGCCCTATTTTGCTCAACACTAATCCTACTGCGAGGGGAGCCAAACCTTTCAGATTTGAGCTCGCATGGTTGGAAGAACCTGCTTGTTTGGACCTCTTCCCTGCTTGGTGGCAATTCTGGTCTGACTCTGTCTTGGGTTGGGTTTGTTTCAGAATCCTACGGAAACTGCAGCTTTTGAAAAGTAATCTCAAAGCTTGGAGCCGTCAACTCCCTGGATCTTTTGGTCCACACAAGCTTTCTATGCTTCAGGCTATCAAGTCTATCGATACCCTTGAAGAATCGAGATCTCTGTCTGTCTCGGAAGCCCATTCTAGAGAGCAACTTAAATTTGAATACCATTCTATTAGCAAGAAAGAGGAGACATTTTAGTACCAAAGGTCTAGAATCAAGTGGTTGAACGCTGGAGACTTGAACACTAGTTTTTTCCATAAATTAGCAAATTGCAGGCATAGAAACAATACCATTTCTCACCTTCTGGTGGGAGAAAACCTTCTAGATCAGCCCCAGGACATAGAACAGGCTATCCTATCCTATTTCAAAAATCTGTTCTCAGCCCCCCAAGGTCCCAGGCCGGTTATCGGGGACCTCTCCTTCCTTCACTCCCCAGTGATAAAGCGATCTTGCTGGAGAGACCTTTCGACGAGGCGAAAATTCTCGAGGCCATCTCTCAATTGGACTTAGATAGGGCTCCTGGCCCAGTCGGGTACCCCTTGGCCTAGTCGGGTACCCCCTGGCCCCCTTTAAAGTCTTCTGGGAATCCTTTCAAGGTGATTTCCTTTCTCCTTTTGAAGAGTTTCACTCTAGGGGAGTCGTACACAGGGCCATGAATGCTACTTTTATCACTCTTATTCCTAAGATTGAGAGTGCCAAACAGCTCAAGATTACCGACCCATTAGCCTGGTTAATTCCACTTACAAAATTTTATCCAAAGTGTTAGCAACCCTTCTTAAAGCTGTCCTACCTCTAGTTATCTCTCCCAACCAAAGTGCTTTCATCATAGACAGACAGATCCTCGATGGGGCCTTGGTTGCTTATGAAGTTGCCTACTCTAGACATCTTGCTAAAGCACCGGGTCTCATAGTTAAATTGGAATGGGAAAAAGCCTACGACCATGTGGATTGGGACATTTTGAAAGAAACCCAGCTTCGAATGGGATTTTGGTCGAGGTGGAGGAGTTGGATGAAGGCTTGCTACTCCCAACCTTTCTACTCCATCCTCAACGGAACCCCGAAAGGTTAGTTCCCCTCTTCTAGGGCATTGAGACAAGGAGACCTCCTCTCCCCCTTCCCTTTTGCCATCTCTGCAGAGGTGTTTAGCCAGTCTATCTCTAGGGTATTTGCAGCCGATCTGATACACGGCTTCTCTGTTGCCAACCAGGGCCCCACGGTCACTCACCAAAAATATGCAGACGACACCCTAGTTTTATGCAAAACCACCGTAGAAGAGAGTACCAATCTCTTCCTGTTCCTTAGATGCTTTGGATTTTCTACTGGGTTCAAAGTCAACTTTGAAAAAACTAAAATGATGGGGGTGGCCATGGACTTTGCAACTCTCAAGTCTTTTGCAGGCTGTTGGGGTTGTGGGGCTGAGAAGCTTCCCTCCAAGTACATCTACCTCTTTGCATTGGCAAACCGAAGAAGCGAAACTGGTCCTACATAATAGACACTGTGAACAGGAAGCTCGTATGTTGGAAGGGTCGTTTCCTGTCACCGGGAGGCAAATTCACTTTAATCAAGGCCACTCTGGCCAACATCCCAGTCTTTTAGATGTCCATTTTCCTCATGCCAGCTGCCATCTGTTCTCACATCGAACAGTCGATGCGAAGGTTCTTTTGGTCAGGGGAGGCTGCGAACCATAAGTTTCACCTTATTTCTTGGGACAAACTTTGCCAACCATAGAAGTGGGGAGGGCTTGGGATTAGAAATCTGAGGCTGCACAATCTCGACCTTTTAGGGGTGTTGGCGATTGGCGACACTTAGCGGTCACCTGTGGATTAATATTCTGAGGCACAAATATCATCTGCCATCTTCCCCTTGGTTACCAAACTGTGCCACAAACTCCAGATATTCAGGGATATGGAGATCCATTTACGCAGCCTTCTCGTTTTTCAAGCAGTTTATTAGATACCTTCCAAAAGAAGGTAGCCACATATTCTTTTGGAAAGATATTTGGCTTTGTCAATCTCCTCTCTCAGAGAGATTTCTGGCCCTCTTCTCTTTGGCTGATTCACAAGTAACTGTTATGGCCGACGAAATGACCATCACTGGCTCGAGGCGTTACTGGAACCCCAATTTCAGACGACCTATAAATGAAGAGTAATTAAGCCTATTTGCTGATCTGTCAGTGGCGTTACAATTGTGTTTCTTAGCCCCTCATGGTGAGGACCGCATTATTTGGACTCTGGTAGCCCTTGGAATTTTCTTGGTCACATCTTTGTATCAAAGACTGGCGCAATCCCCCACTCCACCCTCCCTCCCACTTCGATAATTGCACAGGCCTGGTCATCTTTTGCTCCTCCAAAGATCAAGATTTTCATGTAGATTGCTCTCTCTCAGAGAGTCCTCACAGTGGAACAGCACCAAAGAAGAGGTATGGCAGATGAGGAATCCAACCCTCATCTGTTTTTGCACTGCCCCTTTGCCTTCATTCTGTGGGGAGAGCTGCTTCGCCTCTTTAATGTCCAATGGGTGCTACCGGCCACAGTACCTCACATTGTTAATGCTGTCCAACCTTTCCCTTGGGCAAAGGCAGGTATTTTGCTTTGGAAGTCTGCGGTGGCAGGCCATTTGGATTGAATCGAAACAACCAGATTTTCCGGGGAGAGTGCTCTTCATGGTACAACACTTTCGTAAAACTAAAATCCGCCGTGGTGTTTTGGGCAACCAATCACAAGAGTTTCAAAGGTCTTTCCGCCACTTACTCTACTCAGAATTGGGAGGCATCCCTCCAACGTAAGCATCATTCGAGGGCAGCATTGTGGAGACCTCCTGCCGAGGGCACTTTCAAGCTTAACTTCGATGTATGCTCTCTGGGAAACCCAGGACCTTCGGGAGCTGGTGTGCTCCTCAGACACCACCTTGGCAATACTGTCACCTCTCTCTAAGTTCCTTGGCCATACTGATTCCACGGAAGCATAATCCATTGCTCTCTATTGGAAGGCCTCAATCTAATCCAGCCTCTTGGGTTAGACTCGCTTACGATAGAAGGCGACTCCTAGAATGTGATCTTATGGGCGTCCACCTCCACCCCTCCCTCATGGTATTTGGCTAACATCTTGGTCGAGATCGATCACCTATGTAGGGATAAAAGCATCTCTTGGCAGCACATTTGGAGGGAAGGCAATCAGGAGGCAGATACTCTGGCTAAAGCAGCGGCAAGCATGGCTGGGTCATGGATCTTGGTGGTTGTGTCGTATTATTTTGGGCTGCTTTTGTTGTAACCTTTCTTAAGAAGACCCTTTTTCTTTCTTTATTTTCTTTTCTCTCTCTATTATTTGGAGCATCTGTTCTGTGGATCGCCCATCACTCCGTTCATTAATTCAAGGTTAACTTTATAAAAAAAAAATTTTACTATGAATTGTAGACAAAATGGAAATTATGCACTTCATATCTGTATGCATCCCCTCTCCCAAATTGGCATGTGGTCATTTTGTAAATTTTGAATGGAAGACCAAATATCCTTAGCATGTTGATGACTTAAATTGTTAATTTGTTATAAGATTCAAGTTTTCTTAAAAAATGAGTGCTTGTGATGACTTAATTTACTATGAAGTTGTAGACAAAATGGACAATTATACACTTCATATCTGTATGCACCCCCTCTCCTCAATTGGCATGTGGTCATTTGTTTAAGCTTTAGGCATTTGTTAGCCCATCAACTGGGGCAATGTTTGCTACCTTACAAACAGGCTATGTTTAAGTATGTCTGAAAATAAATGTCTAGAAACAAAGGAAAAAAGAAAAAAAAAAAAATCCCCAATTCCTCTTTTCTATGCCTAATTTTCTGTTGGTTTGTGGAAAGTAATGTAATTCTTATATTGGAGGCAATGTTCTCAAAAAACAGACTGGTGGGCTGTGTCCACCCACCAATCCCAATTTGGATTGGCCAGGTTGCCAATCTGGCAAAATTTATATAAAAAAAAGGAAACAGGAAACTTAATGTTATATATTATACCTTGTGAATTTTAAATCATGTGGCATGAATAGTTTATTTGGAAAAAAACTATGTCCAGGATCTGATTCACATGTGTGTACATGTCTTTTTGAACCTCAAAAAAAGAGATTTTTGAACGTTATAAATTTTGTACCTTAAAAGATGACTTTTTGGAATGTTAACATTTTTCAACCTTTAAAGACTTTTTTAAACGTTATAAATTTTGAACCTCAAAAAAAAAAAAGGTTTTTTGATTGCTATAAAAAGAAAAAGAAGGCTGGAGAAGGTTCGAATGAACCTCCGACGTTGTGTTCCCTTCTTAGCCGATGCTGCTGATCAAGTAATTTGTTATAGAGTATCCATTATATACTATATGTTACACAAATAGCCGATTCCGACGAGGAACCCGCTTGGTCATGGATGCTTTCCAATACGGATCGACAATTTTTCAAACGCTAGTCTGAGGTATATGGCTAGGTTTTACTGAGTATTTCAATTCTCAAGTACTACACTTTATGTATCAGTTAGGTAATTCTGAGTGTAAAATCTTTACATGCTATTGAGCTTTCCTTCCCAAAACTGGCTTTTATCGGACTCATCTAATTTGAAAGGTTCTCTAAATTTTAGATTCTTGAAAAGAATAATAAAAAACTTCCCCTTTGTTCCCTCATTCTTTTTCTGAATCATGCAGGTGGCTGCATATGACCAAAAAGAAAAGAAGATGGCTTTCTTTGATCCTTCACGCCCTCAAGATTTTCTCTTCATCTCAGGCACCAAGGTGAGAAATATAAGAAGCTCTTTAATGGGTGGTATTGGTTATATTAATGCATCTGGATTACATCGTAGATTGTATCTAACATTGATGTACTGTTATTTAGAATTTGTAATATTTAAAGAAGATTGTGAACTTTTCTTTGGCTTACTTCTTGCTTGCAGCATATTTAACATGTTATAAAAATCCTTCATGTGTAATCTTATCTGATGTCTGTGTGATCATTAGTGTGGGGCATCTATTTCTTTGCATAGTATTGAGTATAATTTTGTGATTTTGCGAAAGACTAAGGACATTAAAAGACTTCTTATTTGTATTTGAGTTTCTCTTTCTGGGATGTTACGTACTCATTGCAGCATTGTTTTTGTTTCAATGATTCAGATGCGTACATATGCACGAAATGGAGAGAACCCACCTGATGGCTTTATGTGTCCTGGTGGGTGGAGAGTTTTGGTTCAGTATTATGAGAGTTTGCAGGCAGAGGAAACAAGCAAGCCTCCTAGTGTAGTTTCTGTGTAGAGAATGAGGTGAACTTATTGCAGTGCATTTGGGTCTGTCTCTTTTACTTTTTACTGGTCCTTCTGTGTTTTACTTTGCGTTTACAAATTAAATTCTATGTATGATTTATTTGGGCATTCTCGAAGTTTGGAAAATATTATCTCTTATTGGGTGTTCTGGCTTTGTAGCTAACTGGAAGATTAAAGAAACAGCTGGAAGATAGAAAATTAAAACATAATGAAAGTTTGTTGTAGTGTCTGTGCATCAATATTTGGCAGAAGTTGTTGAAGAATGGAATGCTTCCAGTAAATTGAAGTAAGGAGTGGGAATTATGAGACTTGCAGTATATATTACTTTCAAGGAATGACAGTGGCTTGATACCCAGTTTGCTTATCGTTGGCAAGGACAAAATGAGTTGAGCAGTGAAAATCAGTTGATTTATCCTTTCTTTTTTTGGTAAAGGAAAATAGAGAGTATTTTTTATCTTTTTAATCATCTGAGTACTTAGTTTCTTTTGACTTAGTTTCTTTTGAGGCTTGTGGTTTAGCATGTTATTGTAATTTGGACTATTGCGATCTTGAGCTCATTCAACTCTCTCAGTTACAGACCTTTTTCTGGTTTTAACAATCTTAGATTGGCTTCTGAACCTTTTTTCTGCTTTTAACAAGACAGATTGGTTTCTGTTTCCAAAGGTTATCTATACCCTTCCAAGTCTATGCTTGGGATCCATACCATGGACCAAGACGTGATTATAAATCTAAAGAACTTGTTGCATTTTGATGTCGCGTTTGAGATCTATAGTAGTATAATGAAACTACGTATTTGTGTCCAAACAACGGGAAGTGGAAAAGTCGGAGAAACTAGTGCAAGGGAAGAAAATACTCAAGAAGACACTATTGTTTCTCTTGAAAATTGAGTCTTCTGTCTATGAGTTCTTGTCAATGTTGTGGGAACATATTAATTAAGTTGGCTAAGTTTGAATCGAAGAGGTGGTTCAGATAAGTCATCCGTTCTTTGTTTGTGAGTTCAGGAAATTCCTATGAACCAACTTAAACAAAAATTTAGAATGAGCAAAGAACACAAGAGGGAAAAAGGAAATGCAACTGTAGAATGTTGAAGAAATAGAAAATACGACTGTGCCTGAATTATTGCATGGCAAAATCAGGAACAAAGGAGCAAAGTTGGGGTTAATTGAGTGCATTTGGATTTTCTTCCCTGTAAAATGAAAAGCATATCTGGATAAGAAGTTTTTGAATCAGCCATGGGAGATAGGTAGTCTTTTTCCCCTATCTCCTCAGGGTCCAATAGCCTAAAAGCTTCTTGGCTAAAAGATAAGAAAAATGCAAGGAGATACAGTGGGATTCTCTGCATTGTCTGTGCAGTGTCGTCCTAAACAGGGAACTTGGCATCAATCATTTGAACAAACTGTAGCAATTTAATTAGAATTAACTCTATAGACTATTTCATTTGGTAAACGACATGTGTATTTCAATCAATCAACGCTTGTAAGTTTCTAATGTATTTTGTTGAGAGAGAGAGATTCTAAATACAAAAATGAGAGCAGAGGTAAGAGTTTTCTCAGTTTCCTACTGTACTTTGTTGACAGAGATTCTAACTACAAAAAAGCAGTAGTAAAGAGTTTTCTCAACCAAGGGAATGGCCTCCAGGCTTGGGTGGTCAGGGCAGGGTACTAAAACATGACCTCTTGAGTTCTATTTCTACTGAATTTTCAGTTTAACATAAAAAAAAAAAAGGATGTCTGACAAAAAATTATGGAATAGAATTGGTGATGTCATCAATCTTTTTATAGCCCTTAGAGGTTCAAAATCCCTAAAAATGGTCCATGTTGTGTTTGGTTTTTTATTTCAAGTGTTTACAAATTTAATAGATATTTATGGTTTTTGAAGCTTCAAATTCTATAGGCAAACGTCGAATTTATAGGCCATTACAATATGTAAGCGATGCTTCACCTTTTAGAGAAGTTTTGTGGTGATGTCATAAATTCTTTTAGAGAAATTTCTTGAGCGTGCAATTCAGAAATGTAAACAATGTTTCACAGGGTTAGTTATATCTAGAGTACATTCACTTGAACTAGATTGTATTTGAGATCCCACGAAGCTAGGGCATTCAATACTTTGAAGAAAACGAATGCATCTTATACCTCTAATCCCAGTAGATGTTAAAACATCAGCCCGCTTAAGAAAATAACAAAAAAAATGACAACTTAGGAGTGCGTAGCATGGCCATATGTGAAAAATTTGGGGTCCATCGGACCAATAGAATTTTTAGGAGACCTGCTACTTTTTTTAAAAAAATTATTAACATCATTGAGCATTTATGTTTGAATCCTTCAATTTGGGCCTCTACTATCCCAATGGGCTTATGGGCTTTCAAGATTTTTTAATGTGTATGTGTGCGTACACACATATGGAAATGTATGTGTGCGTACACGCATATGGAAATGATATTATAAGCCAGCCACCTTACATACCAGTATAACTGGGTGGCACATATTCAACCTAACATAATAAGGATTGTATGTAATGAGACAGTTCACCTTTGATACAAGATGATCACAATTACTTACAACCATCCGATGTGAAGTTTGATATCTTGGATGTCACAAGTTCAAGAAAATTTATTTTGAAGTTTGAGCTTGGTCAATTGAATAATTGCAGCCACCCAATTTCATATCCAATGGGCAAGATTAATGTCTCACTTTGTACTAAAGGTAAATGGTCTCGTTCTATACTTTTCCAACAAAATATAAAAAGCCAATTTGCATGCACATTATTTTTTTTTTAAAGTTTTTTTTTTTTATATAATTCATGTTGACCTAAATTTTGGGGAGTGGTGCACCAAACCTAAGTACTCTTTAAAAATATATAAAAAATAATTCATTCAAAGTAGATTGACTAAAATGCGCCATCACTGCGGACCTTTAGAGGGTTTGACCTTCAGCTCACTATTTTGCAAGGATAGGTAGGACTTTTCTGTTTTGCCCCCCCCCTTGGGATGGCGTTTCCACAATGGAAAAAGTTTGGATAGGACTGTAGCCTTATCAAAATGATCACGGTGACATGAGGAACCCGACCCCCAAAATTTTGACTGTCAAATGCACTTCCTTTGTGCAAGTGTGTAGTGAGCATACTGTACATCTACTCCCTCAGGCAGTAGAACAACTTGGAAGGATTTTTTCAATCTAAAATTTTGGGAACTGCCAAATAATCAATAGATGATTATTTTCAAAAGAGAAATTTAAATCGTGAGTTTTTTAACACTTAGATCTCACCCTAAAAAAATAAATTGGATGGTTATTTTTTTAATGCATAGAGAGTGAGATTTAGATTTTTTTTTTTGATATTGGTCTATAGGTTTAAGAGGTTAGATTCCCAAATTTGGGTCCTAAGTTACTCCAAAATTGAGTTTTACTTGATGGAGTAAATTGGCAATATATTCCTGGGGAGCATAAAATCTTTTAGGTAATTATATTTCTCTTAGTTTGAAGATACGGATATTAGATGTATTTTTAAATCTGTCATAGATAGTACAAGAGATCATTGGTAAGAATCTCATGTAAAATTCAAACTTACTTTATAGACGGTATGAATGTTATCCCAAGATTAAGAAAAATACAAATTAAGGGTGTTTGTGATAAAAATTATAAAAGTGATTTTCTTGATAGAACACCATTAGAATGCAGCAATGCAGAAAGGATTTCAAGGGTGTAAAAATGAGAGAGAGAGAGAGAGAGATTTTTCGCGTGTAACAAGGAGCTCAAAACTTACAAAGGATGAACCTTTGCATATTTATGTACACCGACAACTATCTCTTACCATGTTAATCAGTAGAAATGAAATTTATCAAAAAAATACTTAATAAGAGATGAATTATTCAACACTTATTAGTTATTTATAACTATTCCGATTCTAGATCATAGGTTTTTTTAGAATTTTTAAATTAAAAAAAATATACGTAAAAGTCTTATATTATTTATCTCTTATAACGATTTGATAAAGGGTGTGGTTTCTATAAGGTTGCAACTTTTAACCATCCAATTAAGATGCACATCTAAATTTTGTCATAACATATAATTTTGGTGTAAAATTTTTTTAGGATTATCTGAAAATCTATTTTCATATATAATTATAAAATTTTAAACTCTAAAAATGGTTAAAATCAAATAGATCTATAAACATATGAAAATCTTGAAAATGAACGGTCTTAGATAATGTGTGGAAACATGCATTATTTTTAGGATTCAAAATCATACTTTTTTTTCTTTAAAAAAAAAAAAAAAAAAAAAAAGGAATAGGGAGAAGGCTTTTGACAAAGTTGAATGACAAGTGCTCAATGAGATTATGAGAAGAATGAGTTTCGGTGTTAGATGGATTTTTTGGATTACGGGATGCATTTCTTCTGCCCATTTTTAGGTTCTTATTAACGGATCTCCTAAAGGGTTCTTCCATGCTTCTAGGGGCATTAGACAGGGAGACCATCTATCTCCTTTTTGTTTTACCTTAGTAGCAGAGGGTTTAGTCTGATGTTTAAGAATGTTGTAAATGCATGTCTTCTTACAGGTTTCCAAGTTTTATCATCTGGCCCTATTATTTCACATTTGCAGTATGCAGATGACATCCTGATTTTTTGTGATGCTAGTGAAGACGAATTGCATAATCCGAGCACATTCCTCTTATGTTGCTAGCTAGCTTTGGGCTTCAAACATAAGACTGCAATTGTAGGCATCTTTTGCCCTAACAGCCTTTTGGATTCTTTTGCTTCAATTTTGGGTTGTAGAGTTGATAAGTTTCCCCTTAAATATTTAGGGGTTTTTATCTCTGATTATAAGCTCACTCGTGCAACCTGGGACCCTCTTATTGACAGGTATCAAGTTAAATTTGACCTATGGAAGACCAAGACTTTATCTTTTGGTGGGCGTATTACTTTGGTTGAATCCACTTATGCACATACTTCTATTTATTTGATGTCAGTCCTATATATACCTAGTGAAGTAATCAAGCTTATTGAATAATATATGTAAAACTTCATTTGGATTAATATGGAGGATAATCACAAAAAGTTTCATTTGGTGAGCTGAGACCAGGTTTGTATAGCGTCAAAGCTAGGGGGTTTGGGTATCAGAAAGCTTAAACTTGTAAACTGAGCGCTTCTTTCCAAATAGTGGTGGAGAATCTTTCAAGACTCTTCTCATATCTGGAAGGATGTGCTAATTGCTAAATATGATTTCGATCATTGAACCCACTTGATTAAAAAATGTAGAGGAGGCAAATTCACCTCACAGATTTGGAAGGATATTTATAGCTACAGAAATATTGTTTTCAGCAACATTAGATGGCTTATTGGCAATATAGATAATACTATCTTTTGGTTCAACAAATGGCTTAGTGATGCACCTCTCTCTTCTACTTATCCTAACCTCTTTGCCAGAGTTGCTCAACCTGATGCAAAACTTTCAGAGTTGATTTCTCTTTCCCCCTCTAATTGTATGGTTTGGAACATTGGTTGCCGCTATAATAGGCTACCGGACATGATTATTCGCAGCTTCATAATCTCCTCCAATAGCTTGAACAAGTTTACATCTATT